TGTGTATTCATATCTTCACCCACACCCACTCACCCCCACTCCAGCTCTTGAGGCTGTAGGTAGGTGGAGAGTTAAAGAGAGAGACAGTGATGTGGTGTTGTGGCCAAGAGGAAGTAGAAAGAGTGGTAAGAAATGGAAAGGAGAGGGAGAACAGGAGGAAGGAAGGAGGAAGAGGAGAACAAGAAAGAGGAAAGGAGAAGAGTGGAGAGGAGAAGGGCAAAGACAGGAGAAAGGTACCCAGTGTTGTATACAGAGTTGAACATACAACGAATAAGTGGCATGAAATTTCACTTTATTACAGTTCTTAATTTTTGAGGAAAATATGCAGTGAAATGCATACATTTTAGGTATATAGCTGTGTAAATATTTTCTAAACATTTCACTATGGAAATTTGCTAATATACAAAGTTTAAAAAAATTTTTACAGTGAACATCCTTGTGCCTGCCCACCACACAAATTCTATCATCACTATTTTACTGTATTTGTCATTTAGCATATTTATTCATCTCTTCATTCCTCTCATCAGCCATTAGTCCATCTTATTTTTGAATGCATTTCAAAGTAAATTGCTATCAGGGGACTTTCCCTATAACAGTCCACATTTGTTTACAGTTTTTTTTTTCTTTTGAGATAAAATTTATATCCAATCAAAACCTGCAAATGTGAACATTAAGTGAACATTAGCTGAGTTTTGAAAAATGCATACAATCTGTAAAACACAAACATCTAATTAGATACAGAAAATTGCCATTATCCCAGAAAGTTTCCTCGTGCCCCTTCAGTTAATTACTGCCCTCAGCCTCCTGAGGCAACCATTATAGATTAGGTTGCCTGTTCTAGACCTTTATGTAAGCGGAATCACCTAATATGAACTCTTTTCTGTAAGATTTCTTTTACTCGGTAGATGTTTTTGAGATTCAGCTATGCTGTTGCATGCATCCATAGTTTGTTGCTTTTTAAACTGCACAATATTATTCCTTTGTATAAATATACAGTAGTTTATTTATCCATCCTCCTACTTATAATCACCTGATTTACTTACACATTTTAACTATTATTAATAAAGTTGTCATGGACATTCTTATATAAGTCTTTTTTTTTGACATATATTTTTATTTCTCTGCAGTAAATGCCAAGGGATAGGTCATAAGGTAGGTTTAGTTTTATAAGAATCTATAAGATCTTTTTCCATAGTAACATTTTACATTCTCACCAACAATGTATGAAAAGTCTAGTTTCTCTACTTTCTCATCAATATTTGATGCTTTTGCATTGGCCCCAGTGTCGGCAGCACTGGCGGCTGCAGGTGGGGGTGTCCCTGGGGCTCCAGAGATGCAGAGAGGCAGGAGCTATTGGGCCGCAGGGCGGGATGCAGTCTGGTGTGGGCTGGACTCTTAAAATGGCACTTTGCTATGGCTGCTCAGTACTTGGGGAAGGGGAAGATGTGTGTGTGTGTGTGTGTATGCGTGTGTGTATGCGTGTGTGTATGTGTTTGTGTGTGTGTGACTTAGTGTGAGCTCCCTCACTGGAGCAATGCCATCACATGGTCTCTAGGCAGCTTCCTATGTTAGTCTCAGGGCCCATGAGAGTCAACGGGCTCTCCTGTGGCTAGAATTGCAGGAGTCCATGGTGCAAATGTGGACTGCTTGGGTGGGGGTGTCTCTCACACATCCTTTGCCCACATTGGGGAGCCTCTCCTGGCTCCCAAGCCAATCTTGGCCAAGCAGGCTGCCTTGTTTCCCTCTCCTTTCATGCTTCAGGGGTTTCCTGTCACCTCCTGTTGAATTCCAGCATTTCTCTTAGATCTATTTGAAGTATGGTCACTACTCTGGTTCTTCTTCTTCCAGGGGGCAAGTGCCCAATGCCTCTAGTTAGCCATCATGAGGCCCCTCAATCCTATTCTTACACTGAGCTGATATACGTTAAGAAGAGTGCCCAAGTGTGTGTATTACTAATAAGGAATTGAGCTCACTGAGAATTCCTATAGAAAAATTAAATTCCTCCGGCCCTTTATTAGCTATCAGGTTAGTAATGGTGCCAGAGTATTTACCAGAGTCCTAGTAGATTTACCTCCTTTAAGAATGAAAATTAAAGAAGCAGAAAATTATTTCTTAATTTACTTACCTATGTCCTGTTTACCTGTGTATACAGTATATGTAATAAACTGTACATATGAGTAATATATGTATGTATTTAGTACACGTTCTATTTTCTACTGCTAGCAAAAGACATACATAATTTGGAGCAAAGATTAAAAGGAACAGACTCCTGGTTGCCAGCTAAGTACCATTTCATTTACTTAATCTTTACTTTCTAAATATGGGCTTATTTCCCTTCCACCTGGAAAGTGCCCTCTGCCTTTTTCACAGCTAAAGGCCCTGTCTCATATTTTCTGAATTTTAATTACCTTATTAATATTTTCCTATTATTCTGAACTCTAAATGTTTCCAGCCCTTACTTTTCCCAGTAAGCCTTCTTTTTTCCATCTGAGGGCTTGGCATCTTCAACCTGTACTCTGTAGTGCTCAAGGTGTTAAGTAACATGGATTATTTGGCCTAGATACTTTAAATTAACCCACAAAGTATGAAAGACTCTTTATTATAATTTTTAAAAAATAACTTAAATACGCTTCATGTAACCTGGAAAGGACTATTTGCAGATAGCTTCTGGCACATGGTTTTCTTGTTTTCTCATTTGTTGTTATTCTTAATCAACCCTTTCTCACTAACTTTTTACTCAAATTTATATATTTTTATTCTTCAAGGGACAAAAATGGCAGTAAAACATATTATATTTGTGTTTTGGCTATTTGCATAAAACTAGTATGAGTGCATATAATTTGGGGTTACCTTTTATTGGCTTATAACTCAAACCTGCAAAATATAGTTTAATTAATTATTTTATTAGTTTAAGCATTTAACTATGCACTATATGCCAGATATCTTACTAAGCAGGAGATACAAAAAATGCATGAGACACCTTCTTAACCCTCAAGACATAAAATTCAAAAGTAATCTTGTATATGCCATAGATGAGTATATGGCTTGTGCTTGAGTCACTAACAATTTATACTTGCTACCTCATCTGCTCATTTATACTTCTCCTTACATTCTTAAAAATGCCTTTGTTTTGACAATAAATTATATGGTTATCTATTATACTTGAGCTTAACTTGATTTCCTAAATGAAACTTGAATATTTTAGTACTGTCAAAGAAATGAGTATAATATTTGAGTTTATCAATTTAATTATGAATTCATGTTTAAGATTTTATATGGACATATAATGTACTAGTTTGGAATCTCTCTCTTTTAACATTTTACTAACCAAATTATATTAAAACCCTCCATAGGTATATTTAACATTTGTATTTTTGTCTTCTGTAGAGCTTTTTTTCTTCACCTATCCAACAATTTTTCAGAGTGTATCATATTTACTTTCATATAAATTATTTGAGATATGTCATTGGGGGTCAGGAATTTATGCAGGTGGTAGAAAATGTTTTTTTTATTTCATCATATTATGGGGGTACAAATATTGTTAAGGTTACATATATTGCCCTTGCCAGCCGCCCCCCCCCCCAGTCAGAGCTTCAAGTGTGTCCATCCTCCAGGTAGTGTGCATAGCACTCATTACATAAGTATACACCCATCCCCTCCTACCCCCTCCCACACACCTGACACTGATAGCATGTTTCTTTTCCTTTTTATTTTTTGACATTTTGGTTACAGTTTATATCTTTGCCTCTCCCTAGGAAGGGTTAGAGCTATGCCCTTCCTCTTCACAATGCTTACCACATCCCTAAGATGTGGGTCTACCCGTCCCCCAATCCCTGGTGAACACTAAGTGGTAGAAATTTTAACCTTTCATATAGCACAAGGAAAATTTCCTCCCATTTATTAAGTAGATATATGTTTGTGACCTTCATGCAACCAACTATTCTACTGGTGTTAAAAGATTCATTTGAGATGTTTTTGCAACTTCCCATATTTGCAATTGCAACGTCTTACCCCTAGGAATAATTACTAATTCTGAGTCAAATTTCTTTTCCTTATTCCTCCTCCCATTACCCATGTCAGGCCATATGTAAAGATCTCAAATTAGCATTAATTGAGGTGTTTCAGACTCATGTTCCCTCACCAGAGAATAAAGGTTACCCAGCAGTGAAAGACTTTGTAAGGACTCAAATGCTAAGTGACACTTTTTTTTCTGAGGGGTTAATTTATGTAATAACTTAGTCAAGTGTTTGGACATCAATGAAAATTAAAGCAATGTGGTAGATACTATGATGGAAAACTATATGACATTTCAGGGGAGAATAACAGAAGGGATGCAGCCTTGAAATTTGTTTAAGAGGAAGAAAAGGGAAGAAGAGGAAAGTGTTAAAAATAAAAAAGGCAGGGGAGGGAGAGAATAGAGGAAGAAAGGGAGAAAAAATGGAGTCCACGATAAGAGCATTACTTTTGAGAAAAGGTCTTGTGAACTCATGTAGTGAATACATTTACTGATTTATTGGGAGTATGGTCCAGAGCTCCATGGGGCCTTGTATCAGGAAAAACAGATATTGTCATCTTTGCCCACATTACAGAGGCAGAGTTACAGGAAATAGTTGGCTCACCAAGTTCAGTTTCTTCTTCTTTATGATATTTTTTGATCATAAAAGTTAATGCCTTCTTATTACAAAAAAGCAGAAAAAAATCTAAAGAAGAAACTAGAAAATAGAAGTTACTGTAATCCCATAACCCCATAGATGTGACCATCGTTCTGTTCTCCCAAGATTCAATGTAATAAAGAATGCCCAAATAGTGAAATCTTAAGTCTTTTACCTATGAAATCCATGGATATGATTAGATATGAACAGAAACAAGAAGCTTCTTGTAAAATGTTCTGTTTAAAAATTCGGTATCTGAAGCAAATCTATACAGGTAATAGGCCACTTCCCTACCAATATATCTACCCTGCCCTACTCTCTGTTATATATGTTTATATTTGTTGATAGGGAAAGAAGAAATCTTGATCTGAGAACAGGATGGAGGAAGAAGACTGAAGGATGGGATGGATGGCACTGATGCTATTTCTTCATGACAAAATCTGATACATCTAAGAGAGCAACTTCATAAGATGTTGGGAACAAGCATAGCTTTTGAGGCGAGGTGAAGAAGGCTCCCTGCTTTCTCTACCTCCAGACCCCAGCAAAGTACCTATGGCGAGAGGTAACTGGAGGCAGCACTCTGGGTGTGGATGTTGATATTCTCCTGATAGGCACTGGCAGCTGTACTTCCCCCAAGTGGTTTTGCAAAAAGCAATGTAGACATACTGGAGTATTTGGAAACTGTAGCTGATCAGGTGAATTGTGTTTCCCTTTGGCAAATTCTTTGAATCAGAGCCATTTTCTTGTAAGCAAGCTAGATATCAAGGTGTTTTTTCCTACTTCACATGATATTTAGAAAAAAATATATATCTCTTTTTTTATTGTCCTTGGTTCTATAAATACTGATATTTTGAGCATATTTTCTATTTGATTCACCAATCTTGAGTACCTAATGAATGGCAAACAATGATTTATGTGGTGCTTCTGGAGTCCTTATACTGAGTGCCACATGGTCAAATTGTAAAACCTCCTGGTTCAAGTGCTGCAGCCAGTAAGGATGTTTATCAAGATTATGCCAAAACCACAGCATTCATATTTTTATGGGACTTTCCATCCATTTTTATATGGCTATTCTTTTCTTTTTTTTTTTAGACAGAGTCTCCCTTTGTTGCCCAGGCTAGTGGGCAACAAAGGGAGTGCCGTGGCGTCAGCCTAGCTCACAGCAACCTCAAACTCCTGGGCTCAAGCAATCCTCCTGCCTCAGCCTCCCAAGTAGCCAGGACTACAGGCATGTGCCACCATGTCCAGCTAATTTTTTCTATATATATTAGTTTGCCAATTAATTTCTTTCTATTTATAGTAGAGACTGGTCTTGCTCTTGCTCAGGCTGGTTTCAACTCCTGACCTCAAGCAATCCGCCCGCCTCGGCCTCCCAGAGTGCTAGAATTACAGGCGTGAGCCACTGCGCCCCGCCATCCATTTTTCTTTGTACCCAATGTAAATACCTCACTGTGTTCCAAGATATGTAGACAGGAGAACATGCTTTTCATCATGCCAGCGGTGAATCAGGATGAGGAAAACCACCTGAGCACAGGCCACTCAAAGCAGAGGGACAAACATGGGCAATGGCAGCCTCTCACTCTGACTGGCAAAGATTCTTGGGTAATAGCTCTCATGAGACATTTTGCAGCTAAGGTTGAAAGAATGACTCTTGCTTGCAGAACACATGCAAAGACTAAGACTTTTATGGAAGAGCTGTAAGTCTGTGACCATAAGGAATCAACACACCAGAAGTCCTGCTTGGGAAAACATGAAGAAGATCAGCAATGTGAGTGACACAAGAAGAAAAGAGACTATTTCCTTAGCTTTGCCAGACCAAAAGGGTTTTCACCAGTTCTCAGGGAGATAGTATGAGGTTTAGAGCCCTGCTACATGTGATGTATTATGCTAAAATTAAAATAGTAAGCTACATACACTTATTATTCAGCCTGGCTCAACTAATACTTTCTGTGACATTTAGAGAATCCTGAATCCAGAAAGAGACCAACATCTTCAAGGTTTATTTTAGCTAGATAGTTGGGCCTGGTAGACATCCCTTATTGAAGTAAAGGTTTTGTTATTTAGGGTGGGTAGGTCAGGTGTTGTTCAGAAGGATTTTACCAGATTGGGAATGGATAAGAGGCTGCAGGTTATATCTTTTATCCCCAGTGAAAGAAATGGGGGTATGCTTTCTGAAGCCATGAGGAATGGAGTGTCCTCTTCCTATCTCTGACCACTTCCACCTATTCTGTCTTTCTGAAGGAGTTAGAGATACACTACAAAGAATGTACAAAACTCTGATTTTGTACCTCAGAAACACAACTCTATATGTGTACCTCAACTGATTTGTCTCTAAGGGTGTCCCCTCTGGTCCCTGTTTCACTGTCCTGATTCAGGAGGCTCTTCACTCTCCTTCGCTTTCATGCTGAATTTGGGGAATAGAAATCTTGTACAATGCTGCCTATTTCATATGTGTCCAAATGCTCCACATGACTTTCTTTTTGGAGTTTTATCTTCTCCCAGTAATGCTGCTAGAAAACCAAGTACAAGATAGATCTGCTGCAGGCTCCGTTCTCTCTCCTTGCCACTTCTAGCCAAGGAGAACCTCATTCTAGTTAACAAATAGGGTTGAGTTGGGAAACAATATTCCTTTTCCCAATTCTGTTCATATATTCACCACGGTGGTGCGTGTTTGCTCTTTAGAGATATAAAAACTTGCAGGTGTTTGTGTTTTCTCTCTGTTACCTTCCCTAAAGCAACAAGCACAGAGCCAATTACAGGCTTAAATATGGGAAAATGGAAAGGGGAAATACAGAGAGATAAAAGTAACATGTAATTCAGTATCAAAAAATATGTTCCTGTTGCAATTGTTGGCCTATGTAATTATTTGTTATGGCAGGTTTCTAAGTAATTTCTACGTTTTTTATTTAGGAGCTTGATGGGTAGCCAGGCAAGGCCTGCAAAACCAGGCTCAGAAAATACAGAAAACTATGCTATTGGGCCTGCCCATGCCTTCGTGCCCTCAATCTGGACATTGCAAAGGAACATAGTGTAGAGAAGAGGCTCCTAGCTTCCCCCTGGTAGGATGGTACAGACAGCACAGGTTCTGCAATTAGGAAAACCTTCATTCAGATCACTTTCCATCCACTAGTTATAGGAATTTGGATAAGTCACTTATTTATATGATTGTCACATTTTAGACAGAAATTTCTTTGACAAGAAGGATCATGTTTTGTTTGGGATTTCTTTTGTGTATGTGTGTGTGTGCGTTTATATCCTCAGAGACAAGCATGATGAGCCATATTTGGCATGCAATATATGTGGAATGAATTCATGTATTTTAACATTTCACAGCTTTGGTTTTCTCCTTGGTATAAAATAATAATATCAGCTGCTGCAGAGAAGATTTAATAAAATTACATATGTAAAGAAGCCTGAGAAACCCTGAAAGAGCACGCATTCAGTAGGTAATAATTTCTCCTTTCTCTTCTCCCTTCCCCTTTTCTCTTTTCTCCAATATTTCTTGCCGTATTTTACTACCTAGTTAGTGCTCATAATTGGTGTTTTTTTCCATAATAGATACAGTGTCCCTCTGGTGATTGACACATAGGTAGTCATCATCATTGTCAACAATAACACCATAAATAGTAGTGGAGTGTCTATCTGCAAAACATAAGGCTGCTGCTGACCCTGTCAACAGCTCTGGAGTAAGAACACCTCCCGTCCCTGTCACCACACTGCCATGAGTCTGTCACTTCATTGTTACTCATCCAGGTAAACAAACTTGCCTCTCCCCTTCTTTGGAACAAAATAATTCTTCTCTTTAGTGAAATCTCATTATTTTCTCATTAGTGCTTCTAATCTGTCATCCATCTACATCATTTGTTTTTTTTTTTCATAAAGTTTTTCTTTTTATATTTCCTCAGTTTTGAAGAATGCTCTTAAAGAATGATACTTTGTAAACATCATATTATGTGGCTTATAACATATGTATGTATTTCATGTGATCATAGCAGTTGATTTTTTTAAGGGGTGAAACATTGGGTAGGCAATGTTCACTTCTATACCTTAGAACTGTGGTTCCCAATCCCTGGGCCATGGACCAGTACTGGTCCATGGCCTGTTAGGAACCAGGCCACACAGCAGGAAGTGAGCAGTGGGTGTGTGAGTGGAGCTTCCTCCGTATTTACAGCCTCTCCCCATCACTCACATCACCACCTGAGCTCCACCTCCTGTCATATCAGCGGCATTAGATTCTGCATTATGGTGAATTGCATAATTATTTCAATTATATATTACAATGTAATAATAGAAATAAAGTGTAAAATAAATGTAATACACTTGAATCATCCCAAAACCATCCCCCCCCCACATTCATGGAAAAAGTGTCTTCCATGAAACTGGTTCCTGGTGCCAACAAGGTTGGGGACCTCTGCATTAGAGCAGTGATTTTAAACTTTTTTTCAAAAATAACCTCCTGTTTGCCCACAGATGAATACTAAATATACTCATATTTTTCTAAGGTCAAATTTTTAATATAATTCAAAATCATATTTAGTTTATTATAAAATCAATCAATACAAATAAGAATTTGTTTGGTGAATAAAAATTTTTGGAGTTGGGAATTATAATGCCAGTTTTACAATTTTAAATTAGTCTCAGCAACATATTTATTTCTGTATTTCATGTGTTTCAAAGCTTGGGAAGATTCTGATTCTCACAGATAAATTTCAAATGGGACTATTTATGTCTTTGTACTCATCTCATAATCATAAATACTCTTCACATAGTTAAAAGCCTGGAGAAGCAAGTGTAAGATCTGCATACAAACCAGTTGATCTGGTTTCAGAAACTAACCTATTGGTGGCCTTTAAAACCTTTTGAGGAATATTTACTATAGCTTCGTAAGTGAAAAGATATTTAGTCTAGAATTGAAATCAAATATTGAAAATAATTTTCTTACAACATCTTTGGAGACACGTTATACCTAGAGTCACTTTAAAACTAATTGCTTAAAATACTCAATGTGATTGGTTTCAAGTTATTAAATTAAAAACAGCCTTTTGGAGAAAAGTTGCCTTCAATTGTCTTTGATAGGCTTTGTTATGCCCATAAAGGTACCCTGCAATTGTGATGATAAACAATAACTATCTCTGTCACAATTACTTGACAGTTACATTCTCAATTGATCCTCATAAAAACATGGCAGCTGTTGTTACTCTCAAACTATATTTGACGAGTTTAAATTGCTCCAAATCAAACTACTCATTTCAAGCTAGAGATTCAAATACGGGCCTATGTGCCTTTGAAGCTCAGAGTCACCATCAGCAGAGCACCGGGATTGCAGTTTTGGTGCAGCCCATGCTCTAGTAAAATGGGATCCGGTGTTCACTAGACAGATGGTCTGCGATGTCCTCTTTATCCTTTGTTTATTAAAAACAAATGTTAAGTATTTATAAATTTAAGAATATGGAGAACATTTAATTCATGACAATATTTTTTGGTGGGGAAAGAATGTAGTATTCTTTTATTTGAAAGAATGCCTTGAAAAATCTCAAAGGAGTAGAAGCACAATTC